ACCACCTCTCATGACTGACCACCCTCAGTGCCTACACCTCGTACTAACCACCTCTCATGACTGACCACCCTCAGTGCCTACGCTTCGTACTAACCACCTCTCATGACTGACCACCCTCAGTGCCTACGCTGCGTACTAACCACCTTTTTTTCTTCACAGGAGCCAATCCTCTTCTTCGTCAGTTGTACGAGTTAGAATCTTTGGTGGATGACGGTAACGAGATACACCCAAACTGTATGGCACTCTGGAGATACAGGACCCCAATAACACTAGATCACGTGACAAGGGCATTCAACGAGTCTGCYCATGCGCAGGACGAGGGATGTGCCGTGCTGAGCGAGTTCTTGAAAAAAGTAATCTGTCTTTAAGAGTTTCTTGTAACCTGAGCGATRTCACGCAACGTGTAACGCAATTGCACGCATGCGCAGTAATGCTTGTTAGAAATAAATTTTTGGTCTTGCCTTTGTGTTTGCGTAAACAGATTATTAGGAGTGTGCGTAGCTCAGTTGGTTAGTGCGCTGCCTTCAGAGCTAGAGATCCACGGTTCAATACTCAGGATCGCCACGTCTGCATCGACATGGGCAATGATTATTTGAGGGCGCAYTTTTGAGCGCCTTATACATGAGGCTCTGGATCTGGAGAATTGGGCAACCACCTCTCGTGTCATCGAAGTAAAAAAAATATTTCTCTATATTCACTTGTACTGAATTTGTCTCCAAAGTTATTTCGCTAATTGTTTCTTTTTTTGTGTGTGATTTTTCAGGAGCATCAGTTACGAGCTGTGCGGTTCCTTCCTGATGTGATAAAGCTGCAACAACTTCTAATGGATCGCTACCATCGAACACTAGACAAAACTGAGACGGACAGGCTGAAGTGGAARGATTTCGAAAAACGTCTCCCGACAGGTTATTTAAGCTTTGTGTAGTTAGTACGGAATATCAATGCCCTGACAAACGGTCCCAAGATTTGACCCACTGTTGGCTAAATGTTAGTTCAAATGTTGTTTCAAATGTTGGGTCAAGTGTTGTTTCAAATGTTGGGTCAAATATTAGCTAAATCAGTGTTGAATAAAAATGTTGGGACAAATGTTGGGTTAAATGTTGGGTCAAATGTTGGGTCAAATGTTGGGTCAAATGTCTAAATGTTGGGTCAAACGTTGGGTCAAATGTCGGGTCAAATGTCTAAATGTTGGGTCAAGTGTTGTTTCAAATGTTGGGTCAAATATTAGCTAAATCAGTGTTGGATAAAAATGTTGGGTCAAATGTTTTTTCTATTCTCCCTTGTTTATCGTTCTTCAGAATTTTGTGGAGACATGACTCGTGCTATACTTTTCTGTTACTAGGCGCCAAGAAGGAATACAAAGCTCTCAGAAAAAGCTTCCGATCGGCATGGGATATAATGGTCCTCGCTATGCAAGGTGAATTCCACTGTCTTGTTTTGCTGAAGCATTCAGTAAGGGAAAAAAACTTTTAAGTTATGACGTATTTYCGGTCCAACTGCTCACAAAAAAAGCTATGAAAATAAAACAAAAACGTTTGTCAATGATTTAACCTCAACCTGCAGCAATTAGATTTTTTGACAAAAAATTCTGTTATCCAAAAAAAAATAGGACTGCTTTCCGTTTTAGACCCGAAAGTCGTTTTAGCATACAAATAACGTCATACTTAAGCTCTATTGTGATAAAAAATATTTGTTTGCTTTCATTTCCAAGGTACAAAGGGACCTTTGGAAAAGCTTTTGAAATGTGAAGTGGTTGATGATTCGTCAATGGCGATGTTCATCCCAGCTACCAGTGGGCTTGGGATATGCTCCCTTTCTCTTATTCGATTTCTTGTTGCTGCTCATAACGAGTTTATGGAGTYGTACAAGCAACACTCAGTAAACACTCCGTAAGTAGATTAATCATGATCAGAAATACATATATAAATATTACGAGAAATGCTTAAAACATTCACGACAGGGAATCGAGGATGGCGTAGGGGTCAGTAGTACACTTGCCTTGTAGTGTCTACACTTCCATTTCGATTTACTAGTCAGCCCAGAGGTTGTTTCAGGGTTCGATCTGTGAGTTAGCCATGCCCATTGTTTGATGACTGCACACAGAAGTACAAGGCAGAAAGGCAAATGTAAGAGTATATGAATGCTTTATGAATCTTTGGTAACCCAGTTTTAGGGT